TAATAAGGAACTAGCAGTTTATGAAGCTTTTGGAATAATCCATCAATTTTTTAAAATTAAACACTATCTAAAGATTTGCATCGAAGCGTTTTTTTTTTATAGTGATTTTAATCACTGTCAGATATCATTATACTTGATCCAACTATGCCACGTCACCACTGTGCCGCGACCCCCCTGTGCTGGGTTTTTTACAATGGTAACATACATAATTTACTACCTTATTTATTAAATAATGATCTAATTAAAAAAATGACTGGTCAATAACAATTTTTGGACCATTGTAACAGGAATATACATGAATGTATATCAGGATCAGAATAAGTGATAGGTGAGTAAGGATAAGTGCATGATGGCCAAGTGGTAAGGTTTATTTCTACAAAGCCTTGGGTCACCGTTTCTAATACCGTAGCATGCCTGTATTTTTACAAGACTTTCCAATACACTTTCTTGTAGGATGATAACATCATGTGTGGCTGAGGGAAACATGGTACTGTGTCAATTGATCCAAAAGTTTTTATCAACAATTCATTCTCTTAATTAGATCAGTATTTAATAAATAAGCTAGTGAACTATATACATAGCCATTTTTAAAATAAAATTGACATCACATAAGTTAAGGGATGATTCTAAAAAGCAATTTATAGCTGATAAATTAAGAAATATAGTAACTAAAAAAAACTTTAAAATATTGTTAACTTTTTTTTGATTAATTTAAGTAATATTTATTTTTTGATTTATAAGTAGTTAAATATTTCTAAGGTGTATTCTTTATCCTATAAAGGGTACTACCTTTATTTTAAAAATGGGAACATACATATCTTATTTTAGTTATTACCATTTTAATATATAAACTGTGGGTCAATTTTCATTATTTTCCTATTTTGTCAGGAAAAATAAAAATTGACTCAAGTTGTCCAATACAAATATATTATTATATTATCTTATTTGTATAAGAATAAATTATTTATTTATTTAAATAAAAATAGAAAATTCTATAGATTTTAATAAACTTACATGTGTGGTTATTAGTTTGATTACGAATGCCAGGACTCATATACATTGGTGGATTTGTATGCCCATGATGATGTTGGTGATGCTGTTGCTGTTGGAGAGAAGAACTAGATTTTGATATTTGGGCTCCGTGATCATTAGGAGATGCAGTAACCATTAAATTTCCAATACCAGTTGATTCTGATCTTGACATCGAAGGAGGTGTCCCAGAATAACTGTATACTGTATTAACAGATGATGATGAAGGTGATGATGAAATACTATTATTGACACAATAATTTACTGCAGTAGCAGAAGGAGGCTGATAGAATGATCCATAAATACTGACATTTGGTTGAGTATTTTCTAAAAATGATAGCTTTCATCAATATTCTTCATAGTTTTTAAAAAGTAATAAAGATATGAACTACAACTATAAGGAAAATAACCAAAGAGAATTTAAAGATAATAACGGTATCAATAATATAAATCGCAGCTTAAAAGAAAATTTGACTTGATTACAAATTAATTAATTAAAATCTTAAGACTTTATCCTGCACTAATTTTAAATATAAATAAAATATTTGTTTTACAATAATGTTTTTTGAGTAATTCGAAAAAACTAATAGGAGAAATAAAACATAGTTCTATGAAATACAGAATTATTAAAATTAAAATTAAAGTATTCACTTACTATTAGGATTATTGTTATTCCACATAGATACATTTCTAGAAAACGAAGAAGGAGTTTCATCTCTACTTCCACGTCTATTAATATTTTCCACTGAAATATTAGTATGTTAATTTTAATTTCTCTTTAATGTGCCATAAATTACTCATAATGAAAAATATAAAAAATCAATGAATATTTATTTAAATACTTACACGAATAATTATTGTTTGTTGGATTCACAATTGATTGATTGATATTATTAACTACTCCTGTTGACGAGTTTAAAATACTAGACCCCCCACTACCACTATTCATTGATTTGTAAGTAGGAAATGGTACAACAATAGGTTGTTGTTGATGATAAGATTGTTGCTGGATAGTTGGAGGCTGTGGGGATGGAGTCCTACCTAATTTATTACTTGTTCCTAAATTCTAAAATTACAAAAAAAATAGGTTTATTATATAATAGTAAGAGATTTTAGAAGAAATCATTACCGGTGGAAGTAAATGTGAAGAACTACTGCTATACATTGATGAAAATTTTGTAAAAGTCATTGTGTTAGGCAATGATGACGTTAATGATATTGATGAACGTGTTGAACTATTGTTATTTTGATTGTTTGCGACAACTGCATTTATTGTAGCTGGTGAACAAACCAATAATGTTTGATTACTGCCACAAGCCATATTGGCATTTGAATTTTGCATCAGCAAAGATTGCTGTGCTAATGGACTCAAACTGCTACCTGCAACAGGTGATCCTGAATTTGGTTGGGCAGTAATGGAAGTCTGCTGCCTATATATATGCTGCTGTGGCTGAAGAAGATTGGATGAGCGCTGATGTGATACTGCAGTATTATTGATATTATTTGTTATTATTAATTTGTTGTTTAGGGATTCACTGTAAATATAATAAAAATTTATTAAATACATTAAGTTATTAAAAAAAAAGCAAAAAACATACCTATTAGATTCAGATTTTGGGACTATTAAAGATGTGGCTTCATCTGTGGCTTGTACTTGATTCAATAACACACGTTTTTCCTCTTCCAATTCTTCACGCCTATCTCTCAAAGCAGACAAACGTCCATTAATTTGAGCTAATGATAATTTGTTTTCCTCCATTTTTTGAAACTCTACACATTTTTTCTTCCTTAGAACTTCTGCGTCAGCTTCGGCTATTAAACATTAAACGATTTAAATCAATAATATTACTTTTGAATTAAAAAAAAATTAATATTTCATGAAAAAAAATAGTAATACTCTCAGTATGTAATGATTCCTCAAAATCATATTTATTTAATATATTTGAAAAAAAATTAAAATTAAAATTAAAATAAAAGAGCAATATCATAACAAGATAAAAAATTTTTAGTATATTTTGTAAAGTAATCAATTCAATATTATACATGTTTTAATAAGTAAATAATAAAAAAACATTGCTTTAAAAAAAAGAACAGTTCATATATAAATGAAATTTCAGTTTATACAATAGAATTTAATAGCTAGTTGTATTATATATGATATTTGTTAATGAAATGATATGTAATTATATAAGGAACTTAATTTTTAATTAGTACTTAAATTAGTTATGAAAATTTAATTTATAGTTAGTCCTTAGAAATCCCTACAAAATGTTTAAATAATATAGAATATATATTCCTATTTAATGTTAGAATTTAAATAGCAAGTATTAAAATTATAAAACTTTTTTTCTAATAACTCAACTCTATATATACTTGAGAACATATCACTCCTATATGACAAAATATTAATAATATTCTGATTCTACATTGAAATTATACTGATTAAATGTCTAGCTATTTTTTTTATAGATATTACTAGTAATTTACAAACTTTAAACAATTATTTTTATTAGAATCATCATTTACTTTTAACGTGCTTGTAGTCTACAACTAGTGAAGGGTAGGGTAGTGCAACCATGGATGAAATTTTTTATACTAATTGGTGAGATAGGGTATATTCTAAAGTTGCAGAATATAGAATACTCCTATTTATTTAAAGCAAGCATGTTTCTAGTGAACATTAATAGAAATAGTGTACAATATGTGGTTAAACAAGATATAGTTAAATAAAATATTTTAAAAGCAATAAATTAAATTAAAACACTTTTACAAGTTACCTGTCAAATGACTAAGTACTACTTCTGATATAAGATCGAAAATGTTTGATTAACAATTTTTTTTTTCTCATTGAAATTTTCAAGGATAATTGAAAATGTTGTGAAATCATCTTACCTCATAGTAGAGTAAATATGATAATCCTCAACCAGTTATTTTCTTATTTGTAAATTATTAAAAAATTGTTACCATTTACAAAAACCTAAGTTAATAAAATTTAGCGGTGGTGGGTAAGAGGTGAAATAGGTTAAATTTTTTTTTGAATAGCTGTAGGAAACCATTAACTTTGAAATGAAAAAATTATATTATGTTATATTTTTAAAAATATTGTTCAAATAATAATTGAATGATCATTCTATTTGTTGTTCATTTTTTATAAATAAAAAGCATATAAAAAACAATGGTTTGATTTTAAAATAAATAAAACAATTTTTAATTATTTGTGGTCTTTTTACTTTAAAGGTAATTACATTTTTTCTATCCATGTTTGGTATTTGATCAATATAAAAATTGAAGAAAAATTAATCTAATTCATTTAAATATATTAAGAGAATAAAAAAAAACAAATATATTGTAAAAGTATTTAAAAAATATAGGTGCAATTTAAATAAAATGTTTATAATATTAATCTTAATAAATTGATTGTTAATGTCAAACTTAAATTCTGTTTTTCTTATATCTATATAATAACATGTAATTTTTGAATTAATATGTTGATGAGTTTGGTGTTACAAGATTTGGAGTCATTAGTTTTTTTTGAAAAAATTAACTATTAATAGTAATTATTATAAGGGAAATAATTAATTTTCAATAATACACATTATTACGTATGACTATTATTCTCTAGATTAGCACCAGATTATAAATTAATACGAACAATACCTTGTTTGTTTTTTTCTCTACGAGAAATTATGTGAGATCTTAAGGATTTCCAAATATGTTTGTCTTGAATTCTACCAGGTTGAGTTGAAACATTGCCAGTACTTTCTTCTTCAATTAACATGATTGGATTGCTAGTAAATGTCATGCTCTGTTTAATTAATAATAAAAATAAAATAATGTTAATTATGCTTATTTTAAAAGCTTTTCCAAAAATTTAATAATATAAAAATGTTTTATTACAATTTATTTATTTTTAATAACTTTTTATTATTACAATATAATAATGTAATTTACTATTACCTATGATTAATAAAAAATATTGACACCTTTTTAACAGGCCAACCCCAATACATAAAAATGTAAAAGCTTATGCAAATAAAATAAGTTCTTAAAATTTATAACTAAATGTTCAAAAAAAGTAGTCACTTAAGTTTCGAAAAATCTTTTTTTTTAAGACGCCAAAAATATAAATGAACAAGTATAACTCACATGGTAAAGAAAACTTTGAATGTTTAATTTGCTTGTACTCAGTATTTTCACCAATATATAATAATACAGAACAATTATTGAAATAATGAAATAAACATTTCATCTGTGAACAGAAATTTATTAATTGATTTGAAATTGTAATTATACGATAGTCATTTAATAGTTCAGAAGATCAAAAGTAAAAATTTATCTTCTACTATGTCCCATGATAAGTAAAAATACACACCATGATAACTTACATGTATTACTTTAAATTTTTAAATTATTTAAATCAACAAAACCACATCATGAATTTTGACTAAAAAGATCGATGATTTTGTTGACAATTGTAATTTTTTTTTTCAACTGGATTCTGGACGTTGTTGAATGTAGATTAAATTGATAAAGTGTACTGAAAATTACTGTTCACAAACCATGACCAAGTACACATTAGTTAACCGTTGTTATATGGTTAAAAAATAGGTATGAGAGATAACATACCTGCTACCTTATTTTTTATACCGTGGAATAAAAGCCTTCATATATATATTTTTTTATTTAAATTTGATATTATTAGGAATACTGATATTATTCATAGACGAGCAGTTTTTTTATCTATTTTATTACGTTCTTAGTCTAACCTGAAGCAGTGATGCAATTATTTTGCGTATTATATTCAACTATTATTTCCATATCATGTAACAGAATAGAATTTGATGTAAATTAATAATATTAATATTATATTGACAATTATTAAATTTATCAAAAAATTAATAATTTAATAAATTAAATTATCAAAAAGAGTAAATTACAAAAAAGCGATATCCACAATTGACTAAAAGAATTGAAAAATTTGTCAAATATTACTTTATGTAATGATTTAAAAAAATATTTTGCTCCAATTGTTAAAGCCGACGATAATTGTTTAAAAAATGATTTTACAACATAGTTTTTGAGCTTATCCAATTTCCCCCTCCCCAACTTTTTTATGTAATATTAATAAACATATTTTTTAATTATGAAACTGAAATAATAAAGTCATAAACTATATTTTACATGTTAAGTTATATTATTTACATATTGTTACATAATATTTCATTAATCTGATTGAATATATTTTAAACATATTTATTAATAACTAAATTTGTAACAAAAACAAAAAACGCACAACAATGTAGAACAATAATTCAAAGTTACTGTAAGCTTGATAATTTACTAAATACTAACAAGATTTAAAAACTAAAATTGTTTAATTAGATTTTCCCGTTAAAACAGTAGATGCAGCAGTAACTAAATTAGAAGTTGATTCTTTTGGATGTTGTTGTTGAACAGGCCAATTTTCATTAATTTCACGTTCCAATCTTTTATAATCCTGAAAAAAATTATTCTTCAATCTTAGGTAAAATTTTTTCCTATTTCATTATTTAATCAAAATTTTTTTTTATTCAAGAAAGTATTATTATAAAAATTTGTTATTATTTAAGAGATAAAATAGTATTAATAGATACTATTTTCTATATCAATTATTAATATTCCTATATAATTTTATGGAATTAATTATCAAAACAATAGGAAATTTGTTTTAAAAGTTAAACCTACTACAGTTAACAATATAGTATAATACAGATTTAAGTTATTAATATTTCATTTAAAAACTTATTCAGATTAGTTACTATCACCTACAATATAAAATAAATGATTTAACAAAAATATATTTAAAATGTCCATTTGAAACTAAAAATATTTAATTGTTAATAAATTATCTTTAATATTTTAAATATAGTAAATGATTTATGATTAAATATACTAACAATGTTTAGTAAATGTAAAATCTTGTTTTTTTTTTTTGAAAAATGTTATTTGTTATGTTTTAAATTAGGCCCAGGTTATTATTATTTCAGGTGATATTGTACTCCAGACTTCTTATGACTTTAACTCTTTAAATGAGTATGTCTTAAGATATTAATTTAAAAACTTATATTATATAAAGTATACGCTTGCACTTGTCATGAATTATTTATGTTTGTATGAAAGAACTCTGTATATAACTATTTATTTTCATATTATTTAAAAATATATATATACTTTATTTAAAAATTTAAATTTAAATTACTTACATTTGCAAGTTCTTTATCACGAGATGCTGCCAAAGCTTTATTCAAAGTGCTATTACGTTGTAAATTGTACCAACCATAATGCATGACACCAAATCCGACCAAAAACATCAGAATTTCTTTATTTTGAACCACAAAATGTTTTAAATTATTTGCTGCCATATTTTGATAGTTTTAAAATGTAACAAATAACTTATGATAACTATGCTTAAAAAAGCATAATTTTTTAATTAATTCTAGTTAACTAAGAGTCTAGTAGTTAAAATACATAATAATAACAAATATTTGTATATAAAATTTAAATTGACAATATTACACTAAAATCGAAAATTTTTGTTAATTATGTCGATTTTGAGATAATAGTATTCGTTTTAAAAACTATTACGGGGTATTTTAAATAAAAGAAAATCTCCTGAACATAATTTGATAACGAAATAATGAATGATAAAATTGATGCACCACATATAGAGAGTAATTCTAAAATCAGCCACTGCGAATCATATATTTTATTTATCTATATAAAACTTTAAATACATATTAGATAATAATTTAATATGTATTTCAAATTTCAATAGGAGTTCGGTTGAGATGACCCTTCCAATATTTTTTAAGTATTTTTTTTAACTTAAACTATATTTATTTTAGTAAAAATACTCCGTAGAATATAGAATTGATCACTAATATCCTATCATTTTCGAGATAATTTATTTTTAATTTAGTATTGTAAAATTATAATTCCCTAAGGAGTTTTTTGGGTCCTTGGATATAAAATATTGGTGGCGGGGTAGAAATAGGTTGAATTTCTTTACAACTGTAAATTTTGAAAAATAACTGAAACCCATAACAAATTCATAAAAAATACCATTGAATATCAATATAATGTACAGTATTTTATTTAACACATATAAAGCTCTGAATGCTTAGTTATTAACTTCATATTGTACATATTTTAATCTAATTTTTTTATTTGAAAATATATAATGTAACAAAATTTTTAATAAAGACAAGTAGCAATAATCTCTTAACCAAAGCCAACAACATAAAAATAAAGCAAAAATAGTAAGATGTCAATAGTCAAATATTTACAAAGTGTCTATACTATAAAAATTAAAAAAAACAAAGTATGTTTTTTAAAATAATTGTTTGTCATTAATGCCTGAAGTTTTGAGAGACATCATGTCAATTAGTTGCAAAACGTAAAAATAAAAATGTTTACATGAAACTAAAGACATTATAAATGTTAATATTTAAGTTTTTGAGTTTTTTTTTTTTTTGTCAGCCAAAATTTGAACTAAAAGACATCTTTCAGAGCCTAATTGTTAAAATATTCAAATATTTATTGACGCGTAAGAAGAAGGCGGTCAAATCAGATGTAGTTACACCCTCAAGCGTTCATAATATTTTAAACGAGCTACTCATATTTCAAGTTGAAATATTCATTTAGTTCACATTAAATAATGTGAAATTGCCATTAGTTTCACATATTATGTTCGTCAAGTGAGATTCTCTTCTCAGGGCCGTTTGTTTCGTCGCTTAAGTTTTCCTCGAAGTTTGCGTTTTTCTTTGCTTGGATTTCCCAAACCTTTTGTTTTTGCTGCCATGAGTCCAATTGAATTTGATGGATGGCCTTACAAAAGAACTGTTTTTACTGAACTCCCAAATAAGCTGCTCTCTTGACATTGCATTTATTCCGAAACATTAAATGCTGTTTCCATAATTTTATTATATTAAAGTATTATTAATAAATAAAAAAAGAACGAATTCCTTCTTAACATTGTAATTAAAACATGAACAGGTAATCTATTTTAGTTTTCAAATCTTTTAAAAAAAGCCCCTGAATAAGTCACACCTGAAAGAAATTTTTTTTTTCTGATTTTAAAATTCGACTTTTACTTCGATCGTCTCGCGACGATAACATACGACAGTTTGTCGTTTTGCTTCTTTTGCGATCGGTATGCAAATTTTAATTGTACTGTATCATTTAGAGAACAGTAAAAAATCGAAATCTTCTAGTGACAACAATTCTTTACTCAAACAGTATTAAAAATAATATTTTTTTATATATAATTAAACTTTTATAATTGAAAAATGCTACATGAGTTAATGAAATTTTTTTACATATTCTAATACGTAAAAAAAATTTACATTTTTTATCTCTACAAAAATAAAAAATATTTAATAGTTTCTGAAAATATGAGTGTTTTACTCAAAATTGACTACTCTGTGTAGTTATATAATAGTATTATAGCTGGATATTTTAAATAACAAATTTGTAGATTTCAAGTACAGTAATAAATAACCATTGGTGTAATCACGAGGATTTAGGGTGTTGTAACAATGCATCGTTAATAATAATTTCAAATTGAAATATCGCGTACTTGATTTATTTTGTTGTGTATGACTGTTTTAAGCTACATAGCCGAAAAAATACCTAATGTCTTTTACTTTGCTCATTAAAACTTAAAAATTTGCGATTAAGAAAAATGTCTACAATGGAATTAATAATACCTCCTTCTCGAAAGTTTCTTGTTCTATTGCCTAAAAATTTGACAAACTAAGAAATTAATAAATTAATTAAATCATCAAAAATAGGACACATTTTTAAACTATGTTTGTTTTTAAAGGGTATGCGTTTACTGATAAAAAAATAAATTACAGTCGAGTGTTTTGAATAAAAATATTTGTATTAAATGGAAATTAATTGCGTATCAAATATTTTACCATTCTATATCTACGAGCAAAAGTAAATATATTTATCATTTTTCAAGAACATTTCTTTTTCACTATTGTTAAGAATGTGAGCTGCGCATAATCCATAATGTATTATCATAATGTTGTTAATGTATATGGAACAATCGCAGTAAAATGATAACATAACCAATAACCCATAGAGTACCTTCCCTAGTTATCTATATATTTATCATTGAAAGTACCTTATGTATATTACCATAATTTGATCAAATTTTGTAGCACAACTTAATGCAATAAATTATGATACTTGAATAAAATTATATTTTTCAATACGTATAGTTTTCTGTAACAACATATTATCAATATTCGTAATTTAAATAAGTTTCTATTTTTACTTTAGACTAAAACTTCAGTGCCAAAGTGTTTCTTATACGAATGACGGAATTTTTTTTAAGAAGTATTTAATAAAAAATAATTAAAAACGTTAATATTTTACTAAGGTAATGATATACCTTTTACTAGTTGTCATAAATTTCTAAAAATCTATTGAATATAAATTTTGAAATTAAAAATATAAATTGTTTTTAAAATTTATATTATTACAAATATTACATCTTTAAAGGTATGTTTTGGTTTGATTATTCAATAATTCTAATTGTTTAAAATAATTGTATTTTTATTTGTACTTTAATCATAAAAAAATTATAGCCTAAGTTACAAAAAGTATATTTTTTATAAAAATATAATGCTATAAAAAAAAAAAAAAAAAAAAAAAAAAAAACATGATTTAAGTGGCAAAATGGCTCTCAATGTATAAATAATAATTTAACAAAAAAATTATAAAAATGTATCCAAATTTTTTCTAGTTTTATAAAATGAGAAAATTTCCTTAGAAAGGATCCATAATAAATTAAATTAGCTTACCAAATATAGTAACTAATATATTACATAATTATTGAAATTAATTCCATTCCAGCTAAATTTTCCTAAAACAATAATCATTTGACAATATTTCACTTTGTTCATTGTTATTATTTAAATTTACTGCATTAGATGATGTAATGAATAACATTGATTTAAATGCATGTAATACACGTTCTGCAGCTATTTGTACTGCTTTATCTGCAGTAGGTGCACGTCCTACTGTTACAGTGACAGGTACAGTACTTACTTGTACTAGAACTGCATATTCCTCATCTGGATTTTTAACTTTATTATCTACGAGAAAAAAATATTGAAAGGTATTTGAAGTTTAATTAAAATATTTTATATTATTTTATCTAACCTATTTGATCATTAGTTGATACTAAGTCATTAACACAAACATATACTGCTCGAAAACCTAATTGTTGACACAAAAATTGTAATCTATCAGCTGCACTTATGTTTGTTGAATGCTGTACTATTGACTGTTCCATTTCTATTTGATACTGTTCTTGATTTATTTTTTGTTGCTTTTGTACTTTTAAAGAGTTACTATCCTAAGTTTCAACACAAAATTTGGTTGTACAATTTTTGCTTAAAATATTCATAATACTTACATTTAATAAATGTATTGGAGATGAAACTACTGAGACATTTAATGAAGAAGCTGAAGCATTTACAGCTGCAGTAAAATATAACCGGAAACTATGAGCTGTTGTCCATTCTTCTAAATTATTACTTTCTTTTTGTATTTTAAGACATTTTTCATTAGTTTTATCCTGGATATATACATAAAAAATTTGTTCAAAATGATTTATTTGTAATTATTCATGCAAAAATAATTATATATTGATACCTCAATTTTAATCTATAATATATTAAGAGTAGTTGATTTTTATGTTAGTAAAGTGTTCAACAATAAAACTATACTTGTCAAATTTTGCAAAAATTAGGAAAACTTAGATACGTTAATATAATTGTAACTAATTATTGATTTGTATAAATATGAAATTATTAATTCTTAAAAATAACTTTAATAACACTAATTGAATAAAAGTTATTTTTAACAGCTATTCTTACATTGATTTATCAAGATATAACAAAATTAATCTATTCACTGATAGATCTACCTTGCTACTATGTTTGATGGTAATATTTAAGTAGATAATCTTTTGCAAAAAAAGATATCATTTGTCAATTAATTTTTATTAGTTATATTGTGTGTGTGTTATTAAGATTTTAATGATTCATATAAATTTATAGTTGATAAATTTTGTCAAAGCTAGAATTTAATTATTTAAAATCTATAAAAACCAGAATTATATGCCAATTAGGCCAAATTCTATATCATGTTTAGTAACTGAAAAATTGAAATACCTTTTTTCTTATGATGATATATCTTTTAAAAGAATAATTCTATTAAAGAAGAAATGTGTATATAGAAAGAATTACAATAATAGGTGTGATATAATAATACAAAAATTAATTAAGGAAATACTTTTTGTTTAAAAAGTTTTAAGTGTAAAATAGTATTATATATACTTCAATTACTTTATTTAATACTTTGACTTTAGATTGCATTAATTTTAGTTCATTTAGTTTGTCAGGACCAATTGAATGTAGTTGATTAAACATGAAACGAGCAGCATTACGTTTAGCAGAGCGTTTAGTATGTGCTATTCCTGTAGGTTTTTTAAATTAAATAATTAATTGATTATTTTTTTGTTACAATAATAAAAGTTCAGAGGAAATAATTATAGCAATATAACCTTTTGTTTCTAAGTGAAAAATTCGACAAGTAACCTTATACATAATTCCTTTATTTCTCTTGTTTATTTGACATTTCTCAAATGAATTTAATTTTTCAAAACTATAAAATGGTGCTGCCCATCTATGTGCTGTACATAATTCTTGTAAGGTTCCAATAGGATTCATATTACAATGAGCAATTTGAACTGCATCATACTTTGTAAGTTTTCTATAAAAGTAATAAAAATCAATATTAAAACTCAAGCATAATGCTTAAGCTTAAAAAAATGTGAAGATATGACTTGGTTATAAATCTATTGTTATAATAAAATAACATATATGAATTTTATTACATGGCTTTTATTAAATTGTAAGTACAATACGTTGTACTCACTTTTTTTTTGTTTCAAAAAAATTCATTTTTATTAGTTATAAACTCATTAAAAACTAAATAGGGGAAGTAAAGAATGAAAAAATGATGGAAAAACATAAATAGTTTTCAGAATATTAGTAGCAAAATATTATTACTAATTGTTGATATTTCATAAGGCAACACAATCACTAACAAATTTAATCAACCGTTCAATTTAATTTTTTATTTTAGGATTAAAAAAAAAATAATTGAAAACTTTTTGTTACGGAGTGGCAAAATAGCATTAACTTTTTATTTAGTGGTGTACCAATGATTTTTTCAATGGGGACAATATAGATGGAAAGAAAGAAAAAAATAATTTAGTAGTACTGCTATTTCTTTCTTTTAAAATATTCTATTTCCTAGTTTATAAGTCTAAACATACATTTATTTTAATCTTCAACTTTGTTTAAATTACTAATTCAGGCAAAATCTAAACTGTTTAACCTCATTGAGTAATTTTTGTAAACATATTTTATTTAGATTATATGAATAATATAATAAATATATTATCCTAAATATTAATTTAATAAAGAATTCTTTAAAAAATAATTAGAATGTTAACATTTGCATCTTATTTAATGCACATAATTGGATATGTTAAGGAGAAAAAAACTTATTAGATCGATAAAGAAAAAGATTGTATAAAATGTCGGTGTTTTTTTATTTTCTGAGTTGAAATTAATATTTCATTAAAATAAATTGACAACTTACGTATCATCATTTAAATCAATTTTAACTTCAGATGGTTTTTCTGGTTCAATTTCAGAAGAGCTTACTAGCTCTTGATCATCCTTTGAGTTAGTACTAATAGATTTTGTTGAAATGATTTTTTCTCTATTGTTGGAAGATTCACTAACAAGCAGTCTATCTAACAATCTAGACGCAGCATTTTGTTTTGCCTCTTTTTTAGATTGTCCTTGACCTGTAGCTACAAAAATATAAAGAATAATCTATGAGATAGCTATTATTATGACTATTTATTTAATTATAAATAAATAATTAATAAAATACTTGAAAAATATTTGTAATTTTACATTTTTTAATTTTAATATTTTCAACAATTAATTTATAATTTTTAATTTTGCTATGAAACAAGATTGATTTATTTTCTATTATACCTGATTTATTACATGCACAGCACAAGTATGTAAATATTGGCTTGTGTGCATGTCCTTTAACAGCTATTAGTGTGTAAGAAACAGTCTTTTTTTTATTATTTACTCCATTACAATGCATAGTCCATTCATTTAACAAGGATATTGGCGTTTTTTTCTTTTGTTTCTCAGAAATTGTATTGTTTTCTTGAATATTACTACTATTTATATTGTCAACACAATTTGATTTAACTTCTTTTTGGTTTTCCAACTTGCTCAATGAATATCCATTTTTTGATATTTGGTTTGATCGACTATTGTTAAAATTGTGGAGATTACGATAGTTATTATTATACCGATTACATTGAGAGTATCTTTTAAGATAAGTAGAAAAACTTTGCTGTTGTTTGGGGATTGACCATGAAGGGCGATGCCAATTCTGATTCTTCTTAACCCAAAAAAAAAAAAAATATTACATACAAAATGTTTATTGAACATAATTTAATGTAGTAAATATTAGTACTTTGAAATGTCCAGTCTCGTCGAACAAGGGCCTTGTGGTACTTTGTTCTCCTTTGTATCTATTTTTTTTATAATATCTTTTGTAGGATGTATTTAATCCTTTTTGATCATAGAAATAATTTTGATTACATTCATACACTAGATTATTGCTATTTGACGCCATTTTAACTATTTTATATTTATGTAAAAAGTTAATACTTTTCATGCTGTGTAATTTTTTAAACAATATTCTTAATAAATTTTAGGAATTACTTACCTAAGTTCAACCCAACTTATTAACAATTAGTTGTTAAAAATCCGTTTTTAATAACGTTTGTAGATTTTTTTTATCTGTTACGATTATTTTACTTCTAGTTATAAATATCGCTGGTTAGCAGTAATAAAATGGATTAGGTTTACAAAATTTGAAATAAACGTGTTTAACGGCTTCTCATAATGTGTGCATACGTGTACTGATTAAGCTATATCAAGTGTGTTTTTAATGAATATTCTATTTATATTTAAGTAAAAAAACTATTAACTTTAGACATTAAAGAAGTATAATATTTGTAAACTTGGAGAATTATTACTTATTTTTGGATCTAAATTACCTATGTATCACTATGCATTAATTGATGAATTGTTGTCAAAATACTACGCAACCATTACTAAAACCTGTTACTAAAGTCATTTGTTATTACCATAGAGTCGATGTAAGAGGGAACTATGAAATGTATCACTAACTGTGATATAAATAATAATAATAGATTCGGTTTATAACATTTTGTTTGTGAAAATAATATATAAGTAAAATGTACATGGAATGAACTCCAAAGTAAGAATTTTCTATTTCTTTTCCTCGTAAGCATGTATATAAAATACGTTATTTATAAATAGTATTTTTATTTCTCTTTGAAAACCTACTGAAATCTTATTGTTACAGACTGCGGACTGTATGGTAAAGCCTTCTTATTCACGCATATATACACTAGTCAACCCTGATTTAGGTATAAATCTTAAACAAACATTTTCATTTTTTTAATGAAGTATTTGACTTATTTTTGTTTTAAATGTTTTCTAAAATTTATTTTTCATTTATATAATTTAGTCAAATGTTAAAGAAATGAGACATTTTTCGAAGTAAATTTAAGTTTTAAAGTTGTAAACCCCTTGACATTTTGTTTCTCAGAGTTTAAATTATTTAAGCCAGTGAGATCTCACTCGCGAATTTTACACATCTGATAGTCGTTAACTTATAATAAAGCGATGAAAAAAATTATAAGAAAATTATAAAATCTAGCTTTAATTAAGTATTATCAACATAGTTGGTAATAAATTCGGTAGAGGTACAAAAATAAGTATTAAAGAATAATTTCTAGACATTGTTTTAGTTTTTTGTTATTATTAAATATATTTCTAATCTCCTTAGTTAAAAGTTTATTTAATAGTAACCACCTAATATTTATGAAATTTAAAGAATAGACGAGTATAACAGTATAAAAAGTCGCATAACTACGGGGGTGTTAAATAATAGTATTGCATAACCTCAAGCTCTACATTAGCACCTTTAAAAATGTAGAAATTATATTTAATGTTATTTTAAAATGTTTAGGGTGGAAAAAAATTAATTTTTCTTTAATTCACAACCCAAAAAAATTTTATCTTAACTGCGGCACTAATAGTCTTGTTTATTAAAATTACTTCCTTTAATTCTATAGAAAAATGACTAGATTATTTTTATTTACTTTTGTGTACCTTAAAAATCAAGTTTTTTGAGACTTTGAGAAAATTATTTATAAGTTTTTTTCTTGGGTAAGTTTAGGAAGTTTGGTGGGAACCATAAATTATGATTTTATTTAAGAAGAAAATTGATAAAATAAAAATACTGTTTGGATTCATTACTAGTTTTAAAGTATTACTTTTCAAGTTAATACAATTTTTAGGTATAATGAAGAGTGTTAATCAACGCAGTTATTTTTATATCAATGAATTATTAGAAAAAAAAATATGACTGATAGTACCCCACTTCTCACAAAAGTAATATTTTAAAATTGATCATCGAATTCTAATTTTAAACTGATATAATATTAAATAGATTTATGATTTAAATACTGAATTATGCTCGTTTAAAAATCAATGTTTCTAAAACTAATTAAATTAATTAAATATTATATTAATAATATTTATAATATTAAATTCATTATTTCTCAAAATTTAACACTCAATTGAAAAATTATAATTTTTAGGGGAATTTTGGTTTTAGAATTTTATTTATTATTGAGATTTAAATATAATATTAAAAATACTAATATTATTAATAAAGAATATATTTAAACAATATCGATTATAATTAACTTAGATGCAATTTAGGGGTGTGACACTCTCCACATCCCTCTATAAATTCGCCCCTGAATTCAAGCTTTTTATTGATATTGATGGTAGTAAGAATAGTATAGGGTAAACTTCTTTGTTTCGGAGTCCTTAACAAAATCATAAATACGCCAGTAAATAAAGGCCCTTGAATTCTAAGTCTGGTTTGCTATTATCACTTTAAAACATAGTCATAAACTTAATTAAATATTTAGATATGATTAAACTACATAGTCGAATAACTTTTCTTTTTTAGTCTTCCCCATAATTCGAAAAATATCTTTAATATAGGCCTGATGATTTTGGTAAAAATAGTTGAAAAAAGATTAAATTAATAAAGGACTAAATTTATTTTATAATATAAAAATTATAATTCTTTACATTTTTTTCTTATGATTTTAATTAGAATTCTTAGAAATTTAAAATTAATTTAATCATGTATAAATGAAAACTAAATATCCATTTAGATTCAAAGGTCTTATCCGTGATTAGTTACCTGAAAAATATGTCTCCTCTTTATTTTTGTTTAAATATTAGGTAATTTAATTTTTATAGGCTCATTTGAAATAAAACTAGTTTTAATCTCTCAATTGCTTTAATTAAGTTTATATTCATAAATATTGAAGAGTAGTTCGCCAATTTCATATTAAGATATTCAATTTTACTCGTTTACTAGCCTATTTTTATGATTGTTAGTACTTGAAAGCTTGCATAATATTAGAATTTATAATGTATGAATTACTATGAATATTATTTTTTAAGTTGGTTTAGAAATTAATTAAATTTACTAGTAAAGATAAGATAGACACATTTGTTGAGATTAATAATCTGAAATAATGATTATTTAATTATGAACGTAAACTAAAACTGTAATAGTAGCCCATTAATGGGGAATTATTGATTATAGTTATTATTATTTCAAGTGTCATATTATGAGAGATTAGTTGATGAACTAACCAATCTTATTTGTTCACAGAATACTTATAACATTCAAGTTCAAACGTGTTTCATAGCAAAATGTCATTTTTAAGCTCTTCTAAAAATCCAGATGTCATTGTTAAAACATTAAATAGTGAAGACGTTTCTTTGTTGACCGTATCTACTCAAAAGTTGTACAACCAATCAAGAGTAGAATGTGATTTCGATGAAGATGATGATTTGACAGCAAGACCAACTCCATCTGGTAGTCCTCCACCAATTACATTGACTTCTGTCAAACCTTGCGGTATGTATATTTATTTGTAATTTTCTAAGCTTAATATCTATTTTAATGATAATTTGCAAGTAAAATTTTTATTATATGATAAAATAAGCAAAATAGATTCTATTTTAATTATATTAATTGAAGTTTATTATTTTATATGTTTTTTATAAGTAAATCAAAGAAATTAATTTAATATAAGAGTTTCAATGAAATACGAAATATTTCACATAGCATGCAAATTAATATCCTAGGGATACCTCATACAAGGGGTGCAAAAATTACTAATAAAGCTTAAACCTTTGAGGTTATCTCCAATTCCTGATGTATTAATGAGAAGGTTAGAGTACCATGAACTCTCTCGAAATTTTGCGAGGCCTTAATTTTTTTCTGAAAATGGTACTATTTGAAAGATATTTTACAAAAAATGTCATGAAAAAAAAGTTATCTTATAACACCTATGATTTTAGAAATGTTGTTAGTAATTGTTGCCAAAGAAACTATTTTATTTGACAAAAGCTCCAACGAATATTAATAAATATTGGATTTTATGATATAGGTTAGTTTTTTTTTATAGTGACACGAGAAATCACTGGAAGGCAACAATACTTTCTGCCCCCGACGTATTTTATTTCAAAATCCTTTTAATATTAGTTATTTTATGAAAAATTGTATTTTTTTATTTTATCATTTTATAATATTAATCCACTTAATTTAAAAAAATTTTATATGAAAAAAATTACTTTATTAAAATGATACTTTCTATATTATGGTCATTATGGAAAAAAAGTGAATGCAAAATTTGAATCTTGACTGTTTAAATCTTATGTGGTAGATAATCTACATATGAGAAATTAGTAGCTTTAAAATATGTTTTTAACATTTTTTTCTACTAAATTTATAAAATAAAATGAAGGGTACAGGGAAAAAACCGACTAAGTCACTTTTTTTCACAAATGAATATTATGGTATCATTAGTTTCAGCTAGAGACACTGCACATTCTGACAGGTCGAAACAGGAAAATAATCAACTATATTAATAGATATTAGCGCTCAAAGTTTTGGTGTACAGGGAAAAAACCGACGAAGTCACGTCGTCCAGTGTACTAACTGCTTAATTCAACATTTTGAGTGTAGATTTCAGTACGATTTTAGAGGTAATTAGAGAAAAGGCAAGTGTTATTAATCTGTTGTTATTGCGGCGTGACCGGCGTTTTTCATAACGTGTTTAACTACAGTTGTTGTATTAATATAGCGTTGTACATAACGGCTTCAAGTTTTTGAATTATATTTGGTAGTTCTTGTCATACAAGCGCATTATGTCTGAAATAAGTGAGTCAGAGGGCAATGTAGTTCTTAAAACTCAAGCACGAAAAAAGAAAAGGACTGGTCGCTTATCAGAAGTAAGTAAAAAAATAAAATTATCGTCACATGAAATGGGAGGTTCTTGCAAATGCACTCGATTGAAATGCTTTGAAACAACATCAGAGGAAGAAAGGAAAATGATACTGCGCCATTTTAACTCACTTAGCTCACATAATGATCAGAATAATTATTTGGCGGGTTTGATTGTAACGCACCCAGTGCAAAAACGCAGGCCTCGACTAAATGAAAGCAGTGCCACAACACGTGATGCTTCTTTTTCGTACAGGGTACGAATCCAGGGTGAAAATTCTGTCCAGAGAGACATACCTGTCTGTGAAAAAGCATTTCGTGCAATTCATGGTATAACACACAGTAAACTTGTTTATATAAAGAACAGTCTAAAGTTATATGGAGTTGCTCCTCAGGATAAGAGAGGTAAACACAGCGCACTTCATAGAAAACTAGCTGATTCGACCACTTCTTTAATTTACAATCATATTTCAAGTTTTAAAGGAAGAAAAAGTCATTATAGTTTGCACGATTCAAAAAAACTATACTTACCAGAAGATCTTAATATAAAAAAAATGTTTACACTCTTCAAAGAACAGCATCCTAATGTACATGTTTCTTACGAAACATACAGATGTATGTTCAACACAAAATTCAATATCTCTTTTGGCTATCCTCGTAGTGATACCTGTGCTATGTGTGATGAATTTAGTGCAAAAATAAAATCTCTATCTCCAGACAAAGACAAGGAAGAAATTAAAAAATTAACGACACTCAATGTTCTTCACAAGNTTATGATTAATGCCATAATTATAATGCTTTAAACAGAAAATTTTCGTCAAAACGTAATCAAAAAACAAAAATTAAAAAATATAAAAAAAATTAATTTTTTTTTAACTAAGAAAATTAAAATAAAATTATTATTAAAATAAATTCTATGTAAGAAAAAAATTTCACTTACCCCTTGTTTAAATTATTAATGGCAGTGAATTATTTTCCGACACATTTTTAACATTAAACGTTTAAATGTTGAACAAAATTAAACTCATTTATAAGATTACGATATATATATTAAATCGTCAAATAAAAAAAAATATTTTAATACGAAAAAAATTTAATTCATTTTGATTTATCTTATTTTCTTTGTATTGAACATTAATTGTACACGTGTGTGTGTATTATTTGTACTTGGCTACACTTTGACAAGCACAATATTGAAGATTTTACACATCTATTTTTAAAATATATGGTAGTCGGTAGGTAATATTGTTAAACATCATTTGTATGCCAACTTAAGTTGATGTTAGGGACACAAAAGATGTGCCACTTGTTTTTTAACATTCTGTTTTCTACCTTGTGTATAACAATAATTTTGTGTCTTCATGTATCATAATTGTTTTTTCTTTAAGATCTCACATCTTATCAAGTAATCTTTTAATTAATGTTTAGTAATTGAACAGTAAATTTGTATAATGAGTAGACGAGTAGTCGAGAACATGAATCAATCAGCAACGCCACCAGAAAAAAATTTACCCACATATTTACGTTTCAGGAATGTTAGGTTTTGTAAATCACCAAGTGCTATTGTTAATAATTCAAATTCAGATTCGGATTCTGAAGGATACTCATTAAGAAATTTTTCAGATATTGGTAATATATTTTTAACGCGTTTTCAATTAAGTAAATATAAAAAATCATTAATAAGTTCAATCTAAAATTCCTTGGAGTAACATCCTATAAAAATTCATAGAGTGTTCAAAAAGTAAGGAAACAGGTCAATTGTTACAAACAATGAGAATAATAGAAATTTGTTTCCTTACTTATTAAACACTCTATATAAATTTATATTGTAATTATTAATACAAAATATATTAAAAATAAAACAATTTATTTAAAATTAATATTTTCCTATTTTTAATCTTGATAAATCGTTTCTTTCTAAGATATCAAATATTTGTAAATTTGCAAGTGCGTATTTTGGAGGGTAGCATTTTTTTATTTTACTATAATATATTTTTTAATAATCATATTAATTACATATTTATTTAAATATACTTATCGTATTCGGTGTCCCTTATTGTACATTTGTATATTTTAATAGTTATAGTATTAGCGATAATAGTAGTGATTATCAATAAAATATGAAGTTATCATTTATAATATCAAAACGCCACCTACCATATTTATTAAGATAATTTTAATTGTTTTTTTTGTATTTTATCAATTTTGTTAAGTCCTGGGTATTATATTTTCATTTTTTTATTTATTTACATTTAAATATGTTTGAAAAATAACTTACAAATCAAAATTACACATTATCTACTTTATTTATTAGAATAAGTATTTGTAACTATTTTAATAGGAACTATTACTTAAAAGACTATAAAGTGACTACAAAACAATAATTTTGTACTTGTTAGAAAGAAATGTATGTGCAAGATTAGTTTTTAGGGATATTTTGAATAAATTTTTACTACACTATCAAAAAACAGTATACCGTGCTACTATAAAATCACTATCATAATTATCGCTTCGATGCAAATCTGTGTATAGTGTTTAATTCTAAGAAATTGGTGCTTAATTACAAAAGTAACATTAACTTATATTTCTTTAATTAATCTTGATTACTATTTCTTAGATTTAAAAGTATAATTTATAAATAAATATTTATTATTGCAATTAAATATAGTATTAAATTAATATTTAATAATTTAATATTGTAATTTTTACGGAGAGGTTCCTTGTGAATGGGGGATAAGAATACGTCCACGGCCCCTCTACCAGTTGTAAAGGCCGACTAATGAGGTTGTGTCAGGTCGATAGCCGGCGTAAAAATCTTTGTCAAAAGAGCATGAGGAATTCCTGAACAAAACTTAGGCGGATTGTCTCATCTCGGATGTACGCGGGGACAACAGAAAGTAGTTCATTTTTACCGAGAAATAATAAAAAATGATAAAGTAGTATATTTTGCTAACTTTATGACAAACTTGTATAAAAAATAAGGATTTGATATAATACTTTATAAAAAAAAATTGTTTTTATAAAGTAATTTTTATAAATATATTGGTTTACATAAATCACAATCTAAAATATACTTTTCTAAATCAATTTCTCGCACTGTTTTAAAATCTGAAATTAGACTTTTTTTATCACTTCTAAGTTTTGAGATTATTACTAATTATTAAAAAATGTGTTTACGTATAAAAATATAATTAAAAACAAAAAAAAAATGTTTTAACTTATAGTACGTGTTATATGTTTTAATTTATTATATTTTTAAAAGATGCAGTATTTCCGGAATATTTTCAAAAGTTAAGTTGAAAAAGTTATACTTTTTACTCTAATATTTTAAGATTTGAACACCTCCTGTATAAAGAGAATTAGTCCAATTAAAAAAATAAAGATTTTTTCGAATTATAGGAGTAAATATAATGTTTGGAAAAAAAATTCGTTTGGACTCCGTTCATCATTAAAAATGTTATAACAGTTTTAATAAAAAATGACGAAATTTACCGATGATCATAATGTTTAGGGGGATCTCCACTATGTGTAGGGAACAAGGGAACATTTATTAATTTTTTAGAGTAATGTCTTCAACTAGATATGATTTGTGACTTTTTGACGTATCGTTGAGAAAAATCAATACAGTGAGAATTGAGAAAAAGTATTGATAGATAACAAAATAATAAATAAACATATCATGATAAAATGAATTAATACATTCTCAACTTCACATCGAAGCTAAAATATGTAATGTAGATAAATTATAATAATTTGGGTAAAAATACTTATAGTTAAAAAAGATAAATAAATTCAAAAAGACAGTTTATATAATAATGTAGTAACTAAAATTCTACTACTTTCTAAAAAGTAGAATATTAAAAATAAATTATTTACTTTCATTTACTATATCTAGTAGTGTTCACTCCATTATAATTTTGTTTATCTAATTTACATATAATTGGGCTGACGTCACCCAAGAGTACAAATTATTATATTTACATGTCACTTATATCCTATAATTTATTTATTTATAAATACATATATTCTGCATATAATTTATGTGCAATGTAAATAGGGACTCGTTAAACATATTTTTTTCGTATATTTTTACTAAAATTGCATAAACGTACATCTAACTTGATATACATATTGTATATTATTTCTATTTTTTTAAGACCACTTTTAAAGTATAATCTAAAGTTATTAGATATCCGACTTCATAAATTTTAGCATTCGACTATTTGTTGTAATACATATGCAGTTTATTTAAGTTAGCTTATGAGTGCAGAAAGATAACATTATAATGTTTTGAGCTGTTTTAGTTAGCTGCGAATGAACTTTCTTTGTTAATGAACCATATAATATGATAATAGTCTAAAATTATCGTTAGCGCATACGCATCACATAATAAAAATTATGTTGCTGATTTGAACTCTAATTTTATTTTAGTTTTACTATCAATATAATCTGATTCCTTACCAATTTTAGTTAATTAAAATAAATTCGTATCAAAAAATAAAAATATCATTTATATTGTTAACTCTTCTATTACGTTTTATTATACAAATTAACATTTAATATAAAAATGTTTTTTTGTCGCGCTACTTAAATCCATTGGTGTTTTCAATGTAAGAATTATAGAATACTATTGAAATTGAATGGTTCAGTGAAATATTTGGTTATCTTAATTTTTTTAATATATTGTCTGATACTTCAAGAGGAAATAAACTTATTATTCAATTATAAGCTCAATATGTATTACGAATTAAAAAGGTCAATAAATTACACAAATTTTAGATCAATTCTGCCAACTTGCTTTTTTGTTGTATTCGCTGGAGGGGATACAAATTTAACCATTACGCAAAAATTTCATTTTGAGTAGGTGTTTAATACATATATATTTTTTAATTTATATAAATCATTTTTCTAATGCACTTACTTTATTAAACGTGAACACAGCAAGGTTACCAAGTCGTTTTCTCTCTCTCTTACTCTTAATATACTAATAAACTATGGATATCATACAGTTTGCAGTTAAATATCTCTGCATATAAAGGTATTTATACAGCAAATGACACATATATTTGATACAGGCATACTTGAACCAGTTGTTAAGATTGCTTGTTACACTATTTTTTTCTAGTTAATTTTTCTAATAATATAAAAAATTCTTGTTATTATAATTAATTTATTTCTGTTTTAATTTGTGAAATGTTTAATCGTGTCTACTCTAATAACAGATAGTGATGATGACGATAACGTCGTCAATACGTCACCGACAGTTCTGCAGCAGTCTTCAGCCACAGCGCCTTGTATGACTGGTTCCTCGGTTTCTTCAGGAGTACACCATTCGAGCGATTTAGGAACAAATGTAAGTGGTTGTGTTTCGTCATCATATCAATTGCCTCAATTTCCGATCGAACGAATTGAAAGTAAAATGGCTGCAATTAGTAGCAGGTAAAAAAACATTTTTTTAAATTAAATATATAAAAAAGTATCCAAATAACATTTATAAAATGTTATTATCTATTAATTTTTAGAGAAAAAAAAAGTAATATTGAATTTTTAAAGTATAATTATTAAAAAAAAAAAAACAATCGAGTAACTGATATAAAATGTAAATAGCCAGGAACTGACTGGCCCGAGGGGCAAGGGTGCAATTGCCTTATAGGCCCTCGTCTATAGAGCATTGAGGGCTACTATGAATTGCGTAATTGAGCTGGCTATATATAACAAAGAATTTATGTTTAACTATTATTATATATACAGGGTGGCCAACCACTCACTGACAACTTAAATAACTTTTGATCCAGGTAATATTTTTAGTTGATTTTTTTTTTTAATAATAGTTATACGTTAGGTCTATATGAGAAATTAGTAGCNTTTTACATTTTATTAAAAATATTAATTATTTTAAAATTTTAAATAAAATGTAAAAAAAAAATCTAAGATAGCTATTTTGTAGAGTAGAATTTAAGAAAAATTTTAGTAAAAAAATATCTTATTAATATTCAATAGTAAATATTCTGTAGCGTTTTGAAGTTTGTGAAAATTTGAATTTTCATGTATTATTTTACGGTATTAAACATTGAAATACGTATTGAGAAAAGGACAGAAGAAAACCGCTATCTTTTCAATATCTTTTGAATGAGAGTGATAAGTAAAAATTGCCTTATCTAATTTCTTATCGTGGTATTTATGCCAAGTTTGTAATGTATACACACTATCATCATATGTATACACAGTAATCATGAAAAGATAGCGTTTTCTTCTGTCCTTTTCTCAATACGTATTTCAATGTTTATAACCGTAAAATAGNCTTGTATATTATCTTTAATTTTCCATTTTTTCGTTTATAAGCGGAAGTATGTGCATATTCCGGCTCAATTCATGTATCATTGATGTTTAAAAATAATTGATAGTTGGATTTTAAATTATAATATGTAATAAAAATTTACAAGGTGTTAAAAATTTTTTTGAAGTAAACGAGGTCGCTAGAATTGTGCTCCTTAGGCGGCCATTGGCTTTCCTGTCTTTCGCAGTAAAAAATAGTATACATTCTAAGCATGTTGATTTTTATTTATACCTGAAAATTAAGTATTGAGAATCTTAATATCTTATTTATTATTTTTTTAATTGAGATTAAATAAATCTATTATATTCATTTTATCTCCATTTTATAACATACTATGCAGTCTTATATTGTGTATATATAATATATATATTATATAATAATTATTAAAATAATCACTAATAATTTTTTTCACTTTTAAAAAATCTATGTTTATAAAACAGTTAGATAATAGTAAAATATCAAGACACGTGCAATCTATTTTCTATAATTATTTAAACAGTATAAAAAACTATTACTTTTTTTAAAATTAATCCATAAAAATAATATGAAGTAAAAAGTAATATAAATTAAAACTTAATTTGAAAGTAAAACTTGGTCACTAATTGAAATTTACTCAATAATAAATAATAATAATTATTTCTATCTAATTATTCCATAAAACAATACATTTTGAAATAGTTTTGTTACAAACCAAACATATTTTTTTTAATATTGATAATATGACACAAATAACTATCATAATTTAAAAAAATGAAGGGATTTAAAAAATGCTGACTTTAATTTTGGTATTAAATTATAGACTTACTCACCGATAATATTTTTTTAAAAGACTGTTGAGTTATGCTATAATTTAATTATGGTGAAACATGTTTAATTGATATTATATTGCATCGATTTTATTTATAACTTATAATTTAATATTAAACGTTTGAGATAATCATATTATGACTTTTAAAGTTGTATTAATAGTTGTCTTTATTATACATTTAGCTACTAAACTTTTACGTGAACACATTTTTATTTGCTTTGAGAAGAGTGTACTAGTTTTTTTTACTTATAAGGTTTCTTATATAGTATATATATGGTTGTATTTGAATTAATATGGATACAACATAATAAGATATTAAAGTTGTGTAGTCTATTCGTTTATTTATGTACTTCTATTCTCACGAAAAACCAATGATGTAAGTTTTCCAAATCTCATTTATAATTTATGATATTACTTAAATTTATCAAATATTATATGAACTACTATCTTTAATAATAATTATTAGAGATAGCAGGCTAAATATTATTCTCTTGATTAGTTTTTTATGCACAATTTGTATTAAGTTTGTTGATTTTACTGGAGAAAGTATAATTTATTTTTTTAACTGAACAAAATTATTTAATCATTAATTGTTTCATATGACAATTTTGTTATTTGATATTTATAAAACAGATTAAAATGAATTAATATATCAATTCAATGTTACTATTATAATTAGGTGTTCTTGTTAATTTTTTATAATTGTAAAAACCCAACCAAATCTTAAAGTTTTCGGTATATATATCAATTTTTTGAAAATCGTTTTTTTATTAAATGCTTAGTATTATTATCGCCAAGCATTGATCTTTTGCATATTTCATATATAGGATTAAATAAAATATTTAAAAAATAGATTGAAAAGTAGCGTAAGACAATTAAGAAATCAATTGTTTTTTTGTTTTCTGAAAAATTTGTATTTTGTAGCATAATAAACCTGAATTATTTTAAGGCTATTACAATGCCTTGTTTTTTTTTTCAAACTTTTTGTTGTATAAAACTATAGTACTATTAAAAAAATTCAGGGCCAGGATTAGGAATATGGGGGTTCTGGGTCCAATAAATTATTTCCTCATTTCGCTAGGAATAATGTTTAATAATTTTTTTTGTGTCATATTAAATGAATCAAAATTTTTATTATTTTATCATAATTAATTATATATATATACATACATATATATTAAATCTCAATTAAAAACACATCATTTATTATTAAAAAAGAAAAGTTAACATTAATCCTAATAACAATATAAAGCTAAAAATAAATCACTACTAATATTTTAAAATATATTAAACACGTATTTGTACGTTTTTAATAAAAAATAATTAAATTATAAACATCTAGAGACTAGTGCCAATGACGTTTTTGTCAAAATTTTTAGAGAAAATGTGTTTTATATTTTCATTAGAATTATTAATTAAAAATAATTATGTGACTTAGAGACACAAAAATTACAGATGCTCTATTCGATATAAAAATATGTTGTATGGATATAAAAAAGTTTTAAAAAACATTTTTTAACACCTAGTAAATCTTAATTATCAATTATAATTAAAAATCCAACTATCAATTATTTTGAATATCAGTGATACATCAATTAGATCGGAATATGCATAAACCTACTATTATCAACAAAAATTATAGAAAATTTAAGATAAAAAAAACATATATATATATATATAATACTTAAACATAATTCTTTATTAGAAATAGTGCCCTCATTGTTCTATAAACGGAAGCCTTTAGTACAATTGCACCCTTGTCTCAGTGGCCAGTCTGTCCATTAAAATAATTTTAATAAATAAATAAAATTGCACTAACCAGATTATTATATAACTATCATATTCATTTGTACTCGACAATAATGTTTAAAAAAAAATAAGGTATAACCCTCATTAATGTATTAGAAAAATTTTAATTTTATTCATTTACATAAAATTTCTATTTTAGTATACCTTTTATTATAAATATATGATTTTAAGTATCGTTAATGTTTACTTCGTTTTTTTTTTTTTTTTTAGTACACGTTAGAATTTTTCTATAATAGGTAGCTTATGAATTTATTACAATATTTTAATCAGTTTTTAAACTTGATTATAAATAGGTTTGTTAATTTTGATATGTAAAAACAAAAGAGATTTTAAATTTTATCAATAATGTTTATTTAAACTAATGTTTGAAAATATATCATACATTTTTGGCAATTTATTTTTCCGAGTATTGTGTAATAATAAAAGACGTGAAATGACAAGTTTAGTACGGATTATCAGAATTTTTATAAGAGTTTTTTTTGGGGGGATCCATTGTACCCAAACTTTTTTTACATATGACCGACTTTATTGCGGGCATTCATAGAACTGCCGTTAGACATTACATACTGCCAAACCTAACCTAACAAGGGCGGTTAGGGTGTCATAACACCTCCCCTGTTTGAATTACTTAGTCATAAAATCAGGTTTTTTTTTCTTATTTTTAATTTTTTTAATTGTGATTCAAAGTAAAAGAAAAAAGTAATCCCCTCGAAATTATTTTCCAGTTGCGCTAATGATATTTGATAATGTTTTATACACAAATAAAAGTTACCTTTGACCGTTTCCCCTTCCAAAACTCAAATAACAACTAAATTTGTTGATTGTGTATTTCACAAGTAAACATTGATAGTATAAATTTATAGTTTGAATAATTATTTTCATAGTAAGAAGAATTTTGTTTTGAGAAAAATAAAGTAGAAAACAGTAAATAATAAAACACAATAAAGAGGTCTTTTATCTAATGCCTTAATTTTGTGTGGTCAAGATTGCTGCTATAAGTTAAATTATTTCAACCAGTTATATATTTTGACTTCATATTGTGACTTAAATTGTTATAATGTCGTTTAACACCAACATAATTATAAAATATACAATTGTTTGAGCGTTTCTAATTAATACACTATATGCTTCATTCATCATCTCGTTTACTGAGAGTAGAATTTTTACCAACAATTTCAAATATTTTTGTCGGCTTTTTTTCTGTATTTCTAAAATGATTTTTTATGATTTGAAAAATCCATTAAACAGTTTGGCAAAAGAATTGGATGAAAAAAGAAGTGCAACAACTGCTGTTCATTGCCAACCAACAGTTTCAGCTGTATCTGCTTTCAAAGATAGTTATAATAATAGTCAGTTATATGGTGATGATCTACAATCTGCAATTTTTGAACCTCCCGAATTATCTGACTTAGATGATCAACATCCATGGCAACAGCAAGGAGATGATAATCATGGCCAATATGATTTCATTCCTCATTTTCAACGAGTCAGTATTAGCGGTGAACATAACAGTGGAGTAAGTCTAGAAATAAATCCAAATTAACTTCAATTAAATTTTAATATTTAATAAGCTATAATTATATGCAATCTATGTATTGCTGAAATAAGTATAACTTTAATTTAATGTTGCAGTGCAGATAATAAAACGTTTTATATTTAATTTAGTAGATTTAATCTATATTTAAAAATTATCCGAAATTAAGTCTATTAAAATAGACATTTTGTGAAAATTTGAGGTTTTTAAAAAAAATTTAATGGTCGTTTAACGTGTGTTTAGTATTTTAATCAAAAATACCCTGAAAAACAAAAAACGGCCTATGTTATTCAATTTTTGGTTAAATATTATGATTATTACATCAAAATAGTTTCTTTTTTACTGTAGAATATAAATTTTTTAGTTTCAAAATTTTAAGTCGAAAATTGTTAGCATGGATATTATAATTGGCGTCATTTATGGTATATTTCTAACAGATCTCAAGTAAGCTTAAAATTTAAAAAAAAATTTGTTATGTTATTTAACTGATATTTATGGATATTATAAGAAATTTGTTCACTAATCTTAAAACATTTTTGTTTTTCAGGGTATTTTTGGTTAAAATACTAAAAACACGTTGAGTGCCCAGTAAAATATTTTTTAAAAATCTCAAATTTTCACAAAATGTCTATTTTAATGTAAATAATAATGTTAAAATGGTTCTCCTTAACATATTGATGATCGACTTTTTTTGATTAAGTTAGTAGACAGTTTAAATATTCTCCTAAGGTTTGGCTTATCAATTGGTGTAAATTAAAAATATTCTAAAAAACCTTCAAAAATTATTTTGAAAACTTATAAAAATATATAAAAAGCCAAGAAAAATACCAAAAATACATTAAAAGTTTTCATATTTCTATTTAGAATTTTCATACAAATATTAATAGTTTTTATTACTTACTATTAATTTAAATTATTTGGAAATTTACTACAAAAAATACAATATAAAAAAAACAGTAACATAGTGTAATCGTGGCACAAAATATTGAAAAAATAATCCCGTTTACCAAAAAATGTTGCTAATGAGCTATTTAATATTCTATTACGATAAAAATTTAAATAAATATTGAGCTTTTATGTTAAATTTACTGTAAATAGTAAATATAAAATTTCCTGGTTAGATATAAATCTTAAAATACAATTTTTTAATTCTCATAGAATTTCCTATTTAATGATGACAATTTCAAACTTGTGAGTTTAGCTTAAATTAATGATAAAAATTCAACTTTAAAGGAAAAAAAAGTAGGTTAAAAACCAAAATCAGTAATAAATTTAAAAAAAATTTTTTGTTTTAATTAATTTTTTTATATGTAAATGCTCAATTTTTAATAATAAGTAATAATCTCAAAACTTAGAAGTGATAGAAAAAGTCTTATTTCAGATTTGAAAACAGCGCGATAAGTGGATTTAAAGAAATATATTTTTGATTATGATTGTAGACCAATGTATTTATAAAAATTACTTTATAAAAATAATTTTTTTTAGTATTATGTCAAGCCTTTCAAATTTTATATAAGTTCATAGAAGTAGCGAATTATACTACTTTATCATTTTTTATTATTTCTCCGTAAAAATTACAATACTAAATTATTAAATATCAATTTCATACTACGTTGAATTGCTATAATAGATATTTATTCATATATTATACTTTTAAATCTAAGAACTAGTAATCAGGATATAATTAAGGAAATAGAAGTTGATGTTGCTTATGTAATTAAGCATCAATTTCTTAGAATTAAACACTATACACAGATTTGCATCAAAGCGATTCTTATGATAGTGATTTTATAGTAGCACGGTGTACTGTTTTTTGATAGTGTAGTATCACTGTAGTATATCAAATAAAATGTAATTCGATCTAGTTTTGAATAATGTAAATGTTCTATAATTATACAAAACTCATCAAAATCAACTATTTTAGCAAAAATATTGTGAATTTTGGTTAGACCAATACCTCATATAAATAATAATAATTTTCGATAATTTTTGTTTTTTATCTCGAAGAAAATTTTGCTCACTTTAATGCAAATTTAAATAAGTCAAGTTTTTGAAATATTATCAAAAAGTGAAAAGAAAAAAAAATTAATATGATTATTCCCCTTTTCAGTACTTAGGATAGTGATTTTATCTTCAAAAAAGAAATATTATTTATGTAAGACCAATGTCTAAAATATTTTCATTATAAATATAATAATGAACGGTCAGTTTCAAAAGGCTATTCACTATTATTTGAAAATTAAAAATATTAATATTGACTTTTTTATAACAACTGTATTTTTTTTTTGGGTAAATTTCCCTTTATTACAAGGATTACGAAGAATTTTTAAATTATGATGCATTCATATCTAATTAGATACGATTTATGGATCTTTTGATGTGTTGATCAGACATATTGGTTCAGTAGAAGTTGATAAATTTTCATGACTATAAAAAAAAAATAACTAAGTAGAGTAAAACCAATAATTTGGCACCTATGCACAAAACTAAAATTAAAAATTTTTATTTAAAGAGCGTTATCTAAGATCGAAGAAAAAAAAAATTATAAAATGCATTGAAATTTTGGATCTTAATAATTAAATTAATTACCAGGAAAGTGATAAAAAAAATGTTGATCTATATTAAATGAAACTGCTACTACGGTTCTGATAAAATATGCTAAGACCATCATGATGCTTGTTATTCACGTTTTATTATATAATTAACATTCAAAAACCCAGCACAGGGGGGTCGCGGCACAGTGGTGACGTGGTATAGATGGATCAAGTATAATGATATCTGACAGTGATTAAAATCACTATAAAAAAAAAACGCTTCGATGCAAATCTTTAGATAGTGTTTAATTTTAAAAAATTGGTGGATTATTCCAAAAGCTTCATAAACTGCTAGTTCCTTATTAATATCCTGATTAA